ACTGAGTGGTCACACCTCATTAGGTGTTCACATCTTTCTGTGTAATCAATTCTTACTGTGTGTGGTCACTGCGCTCATCTTGTTGCGCGTGTGTTTAAAATCGCGCGAAGATCTTGCGACAAGAAAGTCCAGTAGACACAGCATCTTTTCATTTGTACATCACCAGTCCCACCAGCACAAACGTATCGAGTAGCCGCTAGCATTCTATTCTACTCACCTGCTAGTGCTATACTTCTTTAGACTGCACTAGAAGATGCTCTCACAATACTGTACTAGCGCACCACGTGACTAGACTCACCAATCAGAGCAGCATGTAAATATTTTGACGGAACTAAATCTCAAGAATGCGATAATTGACCTTGGTGACCTTGTTCACCGCTCGATACACTGTTCAATGGCCCGGCATGACAAGACTAACAGAGAGCTATTTTTAGCTTCGCGTTGTTATACGTGGCGTTCGCGGATTGCTTCTCGCGACTTGTTCACGCGCACATTAAAGTCTAAACGGGAGTTTGGGATAGGGGGGGGGGAGTCTGTAATGACGAGTACACTGGTAAGTGTACATATATGGTAAACGTAACAATCGTTTTGGGTAAAACACATTTACTGGGTACATAATACACACATACGTCACGATTGTTGTCTCGGGAGTCAAGAGTTGAAATTGAACTTACTGAGTCCAAACTTTTTTTTTTTAAATCTCAGAGTTCTAGCGAAAAAAAAAACTTCTGTAAATAATCTTGGACAAAGTTTTTTATACAGTCTGGTTAAGTGTAGTCTATATACGTTACTTTTGTGGGAAACGAATCTTTCTCTCTCTGTCTCTCTTTCTGTCTCTCTTTCTCTCTCTCTCTTCATATCTCTATATCTCTCTTTATATTGTATATAATTTCGAGTGCGCGTGCAGTATGCCACGTGGCTACCTAACTACACATTGTCTGCTGGTGGTCAAGTTCCCCGTTAACACCTGTCTGTAGATTTTCTTTTGGTCACCAAAATGTTTATCTCACGGCCTTTGGAATCTCTTCATACAAATACAATGATTTATGTGCTAGGTCGTGGTCAAAGAACACTTAGTCAAGACTAAAATGACTTAGTCAAGACTAAAATGACTTAGTCAAGACTAAAATGACTTAGTCAAGACTGAAATGACTTAGTCAAGACTGAAATGACTTAGTCTAGACTGAAATGACTTATCTTGAAAGTCTAATAAACTTTTTGTGTTTGTTTCTTCAGATGCCTGTGGACTGTCGGATATGAACCACATTGAAAGCATTCAAGAAAAGTCCCAGTGTGCACTAGAGGAATATGTTCGCAGTCAGTACCCTAACCAGCCAACAAGGTATGCTGTTTCTTTTCAAACTTTAACATTTGGGTTCTGTTGATTGACTAGATCTGTATAGTATCCATACTATCTACATTCTTTGCGATGGTGACCTGTCAATCCAAATAAGAAATTCCTATTCGTTACTCAAAAAAAAAAAAAAAAAAAAAAATAAGCCAGGTTTCCATAGAACAATCTGCTGATTGCTACGACATTTAGTCATTGGGAGTACTTGACAATCAAATCTTAAACTATCCACCCAATAAATGTCGTGGTGCTCCTTTGTATGAGACATTCAGTCAGTGCAGAAATCTATCAATCTAACATTTGCCTGTGCCTCAACATTGACTCTAACCGATGGACATTATTTATTTATAATTTGCTCTCTTTTGTGGGCTATTAGACGGAAGTCTTTCATTGTTTCAAGATGGACACAAACTTTCTTCTCTAAACACAACGCCCTTTATACATACACATTACAGCCTTCTCTTTGCATTTCTATAAACACCTTACATCCTTCTCTTTGTATTTCTACACCTTACAGCCTTCGCTTTGTATTTCTACACTTTACAGCCTTCTCTTTGTATTTCTACACTTTACAGCCTTCTCTTTGTATTTCTACAATGACATAACAGCCTTCTCTTTGTATTTCAGGTTTGGAAAACTGTTGCTAAGGTTACCGTCACTTCGTACAGTCAGTGCCCAAGTGATAGAGCAGCTGTTCTTTGTCCGCTTGGTTGGGAAAACTCCAATCGAGACTTTGATACGAGACATGTTACTGAGTGGCGGCTCTTTCAGCTGGCCCTACATGGCCATACAGTGACTACCGGCTTCTGGGGGGGTGTCGTGCAAACAGAGATATTAGAACTCTAGTCTTTGCGTGCGTGTGTGCATAGACTGGATACTTCAAGACCTGCACTATCTCCAGCACTCAAACACCGAATTGAAACTGAAGCCAATGCTGCAAGATGACATTTGTAACTTGCAGCTTCAGGTGTCTGAGTCATGTGACATCTGAACCAGTTCTTGTCTATGCAAGATTGTCTACTGAGTCACGCACGCACTGTGTCATCATCGGACAGAAAATGTCCTTCTTGCATGGCTGCAGACACCATCACTTGGAGCAGTAATGCCATTAATTGAAGACTCTGGACGCTAGATTTCTATGAGCACCATAACAATGATGTAGTTGAAGAACATTTCCACCATGAAGAATGTTTTGCACAATGTGATGAAACACGAACTAACCAAGAACTCGGTTCTGTGCCTTTCACCACCCACAAACACACACAAAAGGTTCTGAACAAACAAACAAACAAACAAATCCTGTATTATGGAATCGCTCCACAACTGAGTGAGATTCTTCTACTTGACATACTATGACTTAATGATTTCTATTTTGTATAAAATTAATGAGTATTATGTGTGAGTATACTTGTATTATGTGTGAGAATGTACGAAAGAACGATGTATACATCTACATAACATTGTATTTATGTTTGACAGTTGTCCCTAGGGTCGCACCCACCAAATTCAAAGGGATTGAGTCCATGAACATTTGGATAAAAAACCTAAGGAGATGTCTTGAGATCTTCTGCGCGCGTTGTGCAAGGCATGTGTCTTCATGAAATATGGGCAACTGTAATTGTTGTACACATGGCAACAACAGCAAATTGAGGCGATTGTTGAGCATGCAATCTTTTATTCGTGATATTTGACTGTTCAGAAAGATAGGGCGCTTAACACAGGAACCCACCCTGTGTGGCTACCCACAGAGTTGACTTTAATGTAGCTGTGGCTACCCACTGAATTGACTTTGATGTAGCTGTGGCTACCCACAGAACTGACTTTGGTGTTGTTTTTAAATACCGGTTTATTTATTTATTGTCTAATGCCATAGAGTGACAGTTTTGTTTTTCGACTGCACAGATGACTGGGTGTGTACTTGCTTTAGATTGCTTGACTTGGTGTGTATGTCCGTATTTATTACTTTATTTATGTGCAACACTTATGTAAATGAGTATAAATCTATTATCTTCCTAAGGAATAGAAATCAAAACACTCTTTTGATGACTCTAGAAATCATTCCATTTAGTTTAAACTTTTCTCTGTCAACATTCTAACCCCTCCTACCCCCCCACCACCTCCCGTAACTTTATATGCAGGTCCCTAGGCACTTGTTTGGAAGATATCAACTAGGTGTGTGACCTACTTTTGTGTGTGACATGCAGGTCTTGTGTCACAGGTATCTGCTACTGGTGCACATACACATGTGTGTGTTACACCGAGACCTAGCAGAGACTAGCACATGGAGAGTTTCGCCAAGGGTTGGAGTTAACACCTGGACCTGTTCCATTTACCCCCCACTCCGACCCTAGTGTCTGTGCATCTTACGACATTCCAATAAGAACGACATCAAGGGGAGAATAGTTCTGTGTTCAAGTCTATATTCAATTCTAGCCTATGTGACCTCTGACCTTTCCCTACCCCAGTCAAGTATTAAGCCATTATTTGACCCAAACACTTCTACCACAGGCATTCATGTGTACACGAACCTTGTCGTGAATTAAACACCTCATCCCTCACCCTTACTAATCAATCACACGTTCATCTTTCGATAAGACCTCCCTTGATATTGATAGGAATCGATAGTCACTTCCTTGATACTAATAGGCCCTCCTTTGATATTGATAGGACTTCCCTTGATAATGATAGGACCTCCCTTGATATTGATAGGACCTCCCTTGATAATGATAGGACCTCCTTTGATATTGATAGGGCCTCCCTTAATATTGATAGGACCTCCCTTGATATTGATATGGCCTCCCTTTATATTGATAGGACCTCTCTTGATATTGATAGGACCTCCTTTTATATTGATAGGACCTTCCTTGATATTGATAGGACCTCCCTTTATATTGATAGGACCTCCCTTTATATTGATAGGAACCTCCCTAGATAGAATGTCCTTTTGTTAGTTTTTTTTTCTAACACACACACACACACACGTAAAATGTTTTGAAATTGCTTCTGGAAAGTGGTTTTCTGAGAAATGAAATGCCCAATGTATTGAAAGACTCAAAAGTTGTGTACTGAATATGTTATTGATTATTAATCTGACCTTTGTAAGTCTAACTGTAGTAATTGGACAGTTTAAATTCCTAACAGATGACTATTGTCCAGCTCCACTCTGTCCCAGCTTAGGAAGAGGAGCCACTATCTGGCACTGGGGATGGGTGGGGGAAAAAAGAGGGGGGGGGGGGTGGACGCCAATTACTGTCGTTGATTTAGTGACTGTAGTTCCTTGAGAGAATAAAGTGTTACCCCATGAAGTTGTGTTGTATAAGACTTTCTTCTAAAGGTGCTTTGGTTTGCATGGAGTTGTCACATCATTTGAAGTGTGTGTAATATTGTATTATAGAAACAAAATGCCATGTATGTATGTATATAATCTATACTGTACGTGTATGATCTAACTAGCATTGTGTCCAGTGTTCATATATATAATAAGCTATAGTGTACACCTTCTGGACTTTGCTGTACACAGGTACGCATTCGAGACAAGTGCTACACATCATGTTTCTGTCTGCTCAATTGACATGTAAATAGGTCACTATAGTGTTGACACTACCATTGGAAGTATTGTTGACGTCATGGTTTAGTTTGTTGTTTCTCCCCCCCCCCCCCCCCTCCCTCTCTCTCTACTTTCTAGTGTATTTATTCTTAAGTTTGACGAGCGTGTTAAGGAAATGACTAGAGAGTTCAAATGATTAAAGACAATTACTGACCACAGTTGGGACTTGAACACAGACTTAACACAATGGCATGATCAGTTGGGACTTGAACACAAAGTTAGTTGTTAGTTTAATTTGACTGTAAATCAGACATTTGGCTCTCTCCCACAGAAAACTTGTCACATACACACTTTTTAGCTTGGTCCCACACAGTCACAGCCCACACACTTTTTAGCCTGGTCCCACACAGTCACAGCCCACACACTTTTTAGCCTGGTCCCACACAGTCACAGCCCACACGTAGCCTGGCCCCACAGGTATGTCACACACACATTCACACGACTAGTAAATTTGGCGGGAAGCGTGAATGTCGTCTGCTAGTTTTGACGGAAACTCTTTTAAACTAATAAACAATTTTGTACATTTCCGGTCATGTTTTTGTTGTTCTTGTCTTGTGAAAGTATCATATATCTGAGTCTTACACAAATGTTTTACATGTTTCGGATGTTCATTCACAGTTGATTTACTTTCTAGTCCAACTCCCACCCCCGCAGGACGACGGGGGATGGCAGCGGACAGGATATGAACCCGGGACTATCGAGAAGTCCGAACGCGCTTACCGCACGACCAGGCAGCCAGCCAGTGAAACAGAGAAGTACAATAATCTATTCGTCAATGGAAGCTTCCCTTATAAGTCTTTAAGTGAAGGCTTCGCGATATGAATTAAGTGTCTCTTTTTTTTCTTTTCATTTGGACAGTAAAATTCCCAGACCTTGTGGTCTATAGGGCAGAGGATGTGACGGTCATTTGTTTCTGTGGCCTACGGTTAACGAGGGTGTCATGTGGCCAACGACCAACCGCCTTTACTTTTCACCAACTAGTGTTAGGTACCTATTAGAGCTGGGTAGACTCAGAGGCGCTCAAAAATCCCAGTCTTTACCAGGATTCGAGCCCAGAAACCCCGGGTTCGAAAGCCAAGCGCTTTACTGCTCAGCCACATATTTGGATGCGACATAAATAAAAATTAATAATCACTAAATTAAATTTTTTGTAGCTCTGACTTAATGGAATTAGAACAAAAATAGACACTTGACCCAAAGCGACAACAACTATGTCTATTATATAAAACATTTTTTTTTATTGGGAATCAAATGGAAAATCTCATCAATGCATTTGTTAAATGTAGTTAAGATACATATTAGGGGGGGGGCGTTAGTTAACAGGGGAAAGACAGAGAGCGTAAACAAAAAAAACAAAAAACAAAGATGACAGTAAAAAAAGATACAGACAACTGAGATGACATTCAAGAAAGACAACTGAGATGGCATTCAAGAAAGACAACTGAAATGACATTCAAGAAAGACAACTGAGATGGCATTCAAGAAAGTCACTGAGGTGGCATTCAAGAAAGTCACTGAGGTGGCATTCAAGAAAGTCAACTGAAATGACATTCAAGAAAGACCTGAAATGACATTCAAGAAAGACAACTGAGATGACATTCAAGAAAGTCACTGAGGTGGTATTCAAGAAAGTCAACTGAAATGACATTCAAGAAAGACAACTGAAATGACACTCAAGAAAGACAACTGAGATGACATTCAAGAAAGTCAACTGAAATGACATTTAAGAAAGACAACTGAGATGACATTCAAGAAAGTCACTGAGATGGCATTCAAGAAAGTCACTGAGATGGCATTCAAGAAAGTCAACTGAAATGACATTCAAGAAAGACAACTGAAATGACATTCAAGAAAGACAACTGAAATGACATTCAAGAAAGTCAACTGAGATGACAAGCCACCAGAGTGTTGACCTGTAAAAGTACACATTTATTTGCAATCTAGATCGATTGTAAGATAAAAAATGGACCATATTCTCAATCAAAGAAATGATATTTCAGTAATGTTAACTATAATTACAATTTACCATCCAGTGGTCATTTGAGTTACACATACACATTAGCCGTGACATCAATGTGTAGGACATAAATACTACAAACTTGCCGTGACATCAATGTGTAGGACATAAATACTACAAACTTGCCGTGACATCAATGTGTACTTTAATATTCACATTTGACTAGAGTAACACCTTTAGTAAAATCACTAAATTTAGAAACCCTTCAGGACAGAAGACTCAAAAGTAAAGTAGCAATTATACATAAAACACTGAACCATAATCTTCAAATACAAAAACAAAATTTAATAAAATACTCTGAAAGACACAAAGATAAAGGTACATTCCTCGTCCCATATGCTAGGACAAATTTGTACAAATACTCCTTCTTCCCTAGTGCTATTAAAGCATAGAATGGGTTGCCTCAGCTAGCCAGGAAAACCAGTGACTTGGCAGAATTTAGGTCATTGGTTAATATGGATGACTAAATGCATGACGCGTAGGACGTAATCATCTTCTTTTTTGAAGTAACGTCTGTATTATACAAGATAAGATAAGATAATACATAAATACTTCAAACTTGCCATGAAATCAAGGTGTAGTACATAAATGAGTTAATGTTTTTAGAAAACAAAACTATCGATCTTCTAGCTTAGATATCTCCTCCCTTGAAAAGAACTCTCCAACTTATCATAAGTCTGCATACGTTCACTAACCAATCACCTTATAACGAAGAGCCCCCCAGCTTTCATTACATCAAGTAATCTGCCCCCCCCCCCCCCAAACTGTCCGTCACAAGTGAAAGATCTTTCATCATCTCTTGCGGTTTAGTTTCGGAATTTCAAATTGCCCATAAAAGAATTAAGTTGACCCGTTAAGTTGGAAACTGAAAAAGACGAACTTTGTTGCTGACAATGATAGAACGCCAGGTTGAACCCAACGTTGAGTTTATCCTGTTCATCTTGTACAGGTCTGCCTTCACCAAGGACAATGTAGGTCAATGTAGGTGAGTTCGCTTGCCTCGGTCACGGTGACCTGAGTGAGAACATGCACATCCGGTGTTTCAATTAAAAAGAAAGAGTCAACAAATGCCATTGAGTGGATTACTTCCCCTTCCAAGCCCAGCCTCTACGGTACAGGAGACCTTTCAGAACATAAGAGAGAGGAGAAATCTGCACAACAAGATGGAGGCAGTTTGACCTGGTTTACACAAATAAAATTTAAAAAATGAGAACGCTCTTAATATTTTTAATGGAGTAGTTTTATTCATGTCAGATGCACATTATATTAAATCTATCTCTTATGAAGCTGTCTCTTGGCTTGTTAGAAACTTGATAGTTCTTAACATTGATCGACCATCTTTAGGGTTTTCAATCAATAGAGAATACTAATACAGATGATTGGCCCTTGTTTATATGACTAGATATATAATTATGAAATCTTATAACTTATTGAAGGCCCTAATACAAGGAAACCCAAATGAATTCTATTCATAAAAAGTTCAGTTCGAGAAGAAAGAGAGGCAAACTACGGTTTAATGATGCTTATTGAAGTATGCTTAGATTTTGACAAGTTTGATAAGTTCGCATTATTCGAATTCTCCTATTTCTGAAGGTCATTTTTGTACAAATCTTGGACAGTTGTTTTTTTTTAGCAGCCCTCGAAAGGGGAAAAACGGTATTAGTTTTGAGTGATCTGTCTGTCCGTCTGTCACAATGAGATCGCAAAAACTAAAAAAGTTCTTGAAAATCCGATCTCACGACATCTTGCAGCTTGCAAAGTTCTGGCCCAACGGTTTTAATTTTTGTTTTCTTAAAGGATCGTTTTTGTTTTAAAACATTAAATTATGCCACGGCCATTTTTTTTTCATAACCAACAACACTTGTACAAGAATACATAAGGGAGAATACATTAACAAGGAATGATATAGGAATGATATATGTAAATATATATCTATCTAATATATAAAGCCGAGTGTGAGGCGTATGTATGTATGTATGTCCCCGTATAGAAATCAAAACCGTTTGACCGATCTTGATAAAACTTGTCAGAAATGTTCCTTGGGTACTAACTTAGACCGTAGTGTATGTATTGTAGCCCTAAAACAAACTTAAGACCCTAAAAAAAAAGTTGACCGGCTCTATGAAAGTATTATAACTTCATCGATCTAGGCCATGTTTACATGAGAAAAGATCATAAGGATCTAGATCTAATTTTAAGAACTAACATTTTGCGCAGAAAGTTTTTTACTTTGACACATGAAAATACAAAAGATAGTCTATTGATTTCATAACGTAATAAAATTAACCTTCAATTTTGTGTTTCAAAAGCATTTTTACATAAATTCGTTCCATATATCTGCGAATTCAGAACGTCCTGACTTACTTATAATCCCATTCATTTAACAAATCGGGTAAAACCGTTTTAATTGTACTTTATATCCTATTCATCTATCGCTCCTTTTGTTTTTAATAGATATGAATGTATCGGCTTCGGGTAAACCCATTTTCGCAAAACTACTTTTATTTTCGTAGCGAAAGAGGAAAACTTGAAAGGATCATTAACATACATCTAAATCCAATCCACAAGATTAGTAAACACAAACTAAGGCCCGCAGGCCGCGGGTAATGTCAGGCTAATATATATATATATATATATATATTGTATTTTTAGTAACATGCATTTATATATTTTTGTGAAATGTGAAATAAATATCCAAAATCATAATAAATATTAATCCACTTGATGTTTTCTAGTACACTAGCTACTAAAATATTTATTTTTGTTAATATAAGCCAAGAATACACTCTGTATGTAAATGTCTCACACATTGAAAAAAAATCAACTTTTAAAAAAAATATTTAAAAAAATTTATTGTAAATTTAATTTTTACATTTTGGCAAAACATTCGCTGTAAAAGAAGTAACACAAATCTCACTATCAATAATAGGTTGTTCCAGATTTTGAAAATGGAATCACCATAGACCTATATATATTATATCAAGACTGGACATGGAGATCATTTAACACTTCAAAAAATGTCCCGAATTTTTTTTTTAAAATTTGAAACAAAGCGTTGTTTCGTAAAGCAGTTATATGTAGTAAAGTTTTTTTTCAACCCTAACCTATGTAACATGTAATATAGTTTTTAGATCTAGATATAGTAATTGAACATCAAAAATCAGAGTACTCTCTCCTCATAATGATTATTTTGCAATGTGTAGATACATAATCTCGAAAGATCTAGGTAATCAATCTATTTAAATGTACATAAGATGGTTTAAATCAACATGAATTATTTCCATCTAGGATTTTTGAAACATTATCTC